TACATATATGTATGTATATGTATGTGTGTATGTTATATTATATATATATACATATATGTATGTATATGTATGTGTGTATATTATATTATATTATATATATTATACTTATACATATATCTCTAAATATATATGTATGCATGTATGCATGCATGCATGCATGTGCAAATGTATGCGTGCTTTTCTGCATGTCGGATTTGTGCAGCCCTTCTCAAGCAACCTGTACATCATGCTCTCGCAGGTGAATATATATGTATGAATGTATGTATGTATGTATGTAAATACGCATGCATGCATGTATATCGGCATGTATGTGTATGTACACGTCTATGCAAACTTACCATGCCCGAGAAAATCAACATGCCGAATGCTTCCTTGAAAACATAACGGCAAGCGACAATGGCAAACTGAAACAGAGCATGCAATGATACCAAACCAAGAATGCACTCACTCGGCTTACGTGCTATGATCAGACCCCACCTTGCTACCGATATGGTAACATGACTGAAAGCTAGAAAGAACGATTTTCATCAAGAGCGAGAATGCTCGCATGCAAAATAGTAGAAAGAGCAAGGCTACATGTACTAGAAACCACCTTAAAAACCACTAGCAGCAACAGTGACCACAATTAGAACATTGGGAGAAAGCAGGAAGAGCACAAAATTCATCCGGAGCGCCTCAAGCCCTTGCTCATACCTCCGCTGCCGAGTCACCTGGACATCACTGCATCATCGGTTTAGAGTTTAGGGATTAGGGTTTATCGTTTAGGGTTCAGGGTTTAGGGTTTAGGGTTCAGGGTTTAGGGTTAAAGGTTCAGGGTTTAGGTGCTATCGTACTATCCTTGCCCATGTTGAGGACGGCTGGTCCGAGTGGCTGCGCATGTACATGCATCAGTTTGTCAAGGATCAACACTACCATCTCCATTAACATCACGACTGCGTCGAAGGCTATCGGATAAAGCGCTCCGTTTCTTGCTAGTTCAGCTATTGTCGCTGGAGCCATTGCTGCAACTACTATCCTGAAGCTTAAGGGCTGAACTAGTCCTCGGATCCACAGTAATCCCACATTCTGAGTGTCGTTTGTAAGATCGCAGAATGCCACACCAGCTGTGAAGGAACCCCTGAGCCAGCCTATTCTCATTATAAAGGCCCCTATCTTAGATCCCCTATTATTATTATTACTACTACTATTATTGCTACTATTATTTCATTATTGAGGCCTCTATCCTAGATCCCCTATGAGAAGAGACTAGGGAGGCTCCCAGGTTAGTGGCTTTGGGTTTGGGGGGACCGGCCTGGCGGCGCTGGTTCTCCTCGAAGGTGGCGGTGTTCACCCGACTTTGATGTTCCAAAGCCTCACCGGAAGCTCCACAGATGCGCTCCAAAGGCAGCGACTTCAGGAGGTGATGGAAATTTTGAACTTCGGGGCAGTTCAAGACACGGCAGTGCAGTTAGAACTCTTCGAAAGCTTGTGTCTGGGCTCGGTTTCATGCAGCCTAAAAATATACTACATAACATACAATCTACTATGTGCAATATAGGTTATATAGCGTATAACATGTGATAAGCAGATACATCGAATCATTCATAATGTATGAAATAGTATATAGCAGATAACACAACATGTAAATACTGGGTTGTAGTCTTGGGGCCCTTAACACTATTTCAGGGCCCCAAAACTACAACAGGTACCTCTATAGGAACCATAAAGGGCAACTTTAAAGTTTCCCATAGCGCCACCCTGGTATATAATTTAGGATTTATAGGGTTCAGGGTTTATGGTTTAGGGTTTAAGGTTCAGGGTTTAGGATTTATAGGGTTTAGGGTTTAGGATTTAGGGTTTAGGGTTACATAATATATAAGACAAAGCCCCCCAAACCCCGCGAACTCAGCAGCTCCTGGAGCTGCGTGGCCAATTCGGCGGCACGCTTCTCGAAGTCCTTGCGGCTCTGGAAGAAGTCGGTTTAGGGTTTAGGGTTTGGGGTTTAGAGCTTGGGGTTTACAGTTTAGGGTTTGGGGCTTAGAGTTTAGGGTTTAAGGTTTAGGGTTTAAGGTTTGGGGTTTAGAGTTTAGGGTTTAAGGTTTAGGGTTTAGGGTTTGTAGTGACCTGGTGTCGAAGCCCTGGGTCTTATTTAGGATCTTTATATGGGTCCTAAGCTTTTGGTGTTATACGGCCAGCATGTTGGAACCTAATGAAGAAGCCCTGGCCCTGTAAGACCAAAATACGAGGATTCGCATGACGAACTCCAATAACGACCCAGGGCTTCTTGATCAGGCTCTTACATTGGAAGAACTACCAACCAAAAGACCAAATATGTTGACAACGGCCACAATAACCGCTACGAGAACGACAGCAATTTTTACGACAAAGCTGCTGATGATCAAGCTAGCAGACCCCAAACCCTAAACTCTAAACCCTAAGCTAGCACAAGACTTCTATACCACCCTGACCATAGCTTCAGCAGGAAGCGACTCCTTCGATGCTTCGGCGACGCGGCGCTGGTCGAGCACGTCCATGCGGCTTCTGAGGGGCTTCAGGGTTTAGGGTTTAGGGTTTAGGTCTGCGGAGTTTACAGAAATTGACAGGGTTTCAAGACTCGTCGGCCCCTGAAAAGCAGCCGACGCTTTTTGCAGGGTCTCCTAAGATCGGCAGGAGCTCTCAGCTTTAGCGTTCTGCTGAGCGCCCGCCCCGAAGGACCACGGAAGACATCACATTGAGCAGACTCAGCAGGTTTTGGGTTGATGTCTAAGGCAGAGCACGATGTCTCCAACGACACCTATCCGAACGATATCTGTCGCCTCTAACATCCTCCAACAAAGCCGGTTTAGGGGTCTCAACTGCGCCAGGAGTGCCGCAGAGATTGCATGTCCTCCACGAGCGCATCGGCCGTTCCCTGCGGGCTCCGGGGCTCTGCGTCCACATGGCGACTCCAAAGCCGAATTTCTTGGAGGCTTCATCTTAGTAGGGAATGGGGGAACTGATCCCTATGATACTCCCTTAAGGTCCCCTATTGTAGTCCCAATAACCCATTCCCCCCAGCTCAGAGACGGCCCTTTTGAGAACCCAGCAGCTCTCAGAGTCCTTCACATGCGCGGGCCGGGCTCAAACGCCCGAACCGGTGAGGCCCCTTTTTGTAAATCAATCCTTCGGAAGCCCCAAAAAACCCACTGGGGCTTCTGCAGGCATTCGCGGCCCGCCCGATCGATCTCGATGAGTTCATCGTCATGGGGGTATCGCGAGAAGCTTGCACAAGCCAGTGTCTCACGGCCTCACTCCTCCTTCTTTTCAGGCTCCGTCTTGGGCTGCCTGCGCAGGAGCTTCTGCCAGTGTGTGGCCACGAAGGAGGCATTCACCAAGAACCTCCGGGGCGAGCCACCACCGAACCCTGCACAAGAAACATGAGCGTGTCGGCTTGATCTCTCCGATCTGCTTCATGAACAGTCCTACGCCCTCAGCTCCAAGCCAAGCCGCAAGGCAATCTGTAAGGTTGCAGCGCAGTAGGGCGCCCATCCAGGCATGGTGTAGTCGCCCGGGCCCTCCTGAAGCACCCGCCACACCTGTGAGCCAGGATTCAAGGCTTCGGGGGTTTCGGGCCTCTCTGCCTTCGCGGTCCTTTGGGGCTCATAAGGCCGGGCTTTGGGTTTGGGACGCTGGGATGCCTCGACTTTGGATTCGGCGTTTGGGGATTCTGCGACATAAGACCTCTGGGAGGTGTCCTCGAGCTTTCGCCGCCCTCCGTGCCAGGCCATTCCTTCCCCAGGGTTTGCGGTCCAGAGTCTCGGGTGGAGGGCTTGAGTCCTCGGACCCTTGCCTTGGTTTCCCGCCCCCCTCCGTCTTATTTTGCAGCCTCCATCTTACACCCCAAAGGCTCTGTAGCCTGGCGCCCTCTGGAGCCAAGAAAGGGAAGCTTGAATATTAATGATTAACAAAGGAGTCTCTAGGGGCTCCTTTGAAGGGGTCTATAGGGCTACTATCAGGAACAGCGGCCTGCCCCAGGATGTAGAAACTCCAGTAAGCAAAGTACACCCGCGAGGCGGTGTACAGCAGGACCTGATCTTCGGTGTCATAAGATTTAGGGTTTAGGGTTTCGGGTTTAGGGTGCTAGTATTTTTTATTAGACTATACTTATTCTTTTCTTTCGGAAGGCCTCGTGTCCATACCGAACGCGCCTAATGCAATAAATTCAGGGGGTGAAACGGGCAAGAAGGGAAGGGTGATGAGCCTGGCAAGCCTGTTGAATCCAGTCCGACAACGGGTGCTCACCGCAAGGGACCAGCGACAAGTCAAGGAGGCATCTCCTCCCCCGTTTGGCCAATGCCAAGACAGCTGAAATCCACTTAAGAGCAGAATTGACCCACTCCCTGTGTTTGCGGAGGGCACGCAGGCTACAAGAGGGAGCATCACCAAACACACCGTCACGGAGAGGAGGTCTTGGGAGCTGCACCGCTGCACCAGCGAAATCCACGCAGAGAGGGGGCGGAAGTCGGAAAGGATAGGTGCGCCAGCCACCTCCAGGAACCAGGTCAAGAAGGGTCTGCCCACCGGCGAAGGTGAACCCAAGTGCCAGGCCAGGCAGGCCCGCCGGTCGTGGGGACCAACTCTTGGGAAGAATCTTGGGGCAAAACAGCCCAACCCTGGCCTCTTCATTGGGAAGTGCCGAAACATCACAGAGAAGATCGACTCGCAGGCAAAGGAGCACATCCTCGGCAGCCTCTCTAGTGATGCCACATGTCAACTCGGAAATCCAACGCTGAAGAGTGGTCCGCAGCACGGGAAGGGGGGCAACACACTTGCAGACCTCTGCGAAGATGGCCTCATCTGTTGGGTTAGCTAAAGCATCAAGGCTAGAGAGGAGCTGCGGGACATATTCCTCCTCAACAGGCGGGAGGTGGGACGTACCTCGACCTCTCAGTGCGCGGCTTTGCACATGGCCTTCCTGGAGCACAGCAGGCGTTAGAAGGCTGCTATCAGCACGGAGGACCGCCTGCAGGCATCGCCGAGAGACCTGCAAGTGAGTCCTGTGTCTTCGGACGCTCGCGAAAACCGAACCACAGGCACGGCACCTATGTCCCTCAGCAGCGACATAGTGGGGGGCTCTGTACCCGTGTTGCAGGGAGGCATGAGAGGCCCAAGTCTGTGCATTCCGAAACGCCTTCTTACATAGAAGGCAAGCATGCGCCTGTGCGTCGACTTTGTCAGCCTCGGCAGGCAGCTGCTCCCAGTTGGCACGGGCAAAACGATCAACCTCGACCTCAACACCTCTGCACCCTTTGTACCACGAGAGGGACCTCCGAATGACCCCTTTCCAATATTTGGGGCGAGCAGACATGGTGTCACGCCATGCAGGCCACCCAGTCTCCAGAGCGGGGAGCGTCCATGTAGCCTGAACAGCCCTTTCAAGCCATTGGCAGGCCGAACGCATAGCCGAGACCGCGTCGGGGTTGTGTTGCAAGACGGCCCAAACAGCATCAGGGCCAGTGCGGGCCATTTGGCCTAGGAACCGGAGCCTTTCGGCATGGAGAAGGTCGCCCAGTACGGGGAGGTCACAAGCAACGAAAAGCTCATTCCGAGTCCATCGTTGATCTGCCCACTTGGGGATCCTTACCATTTGCCGACAAAAGGACGTGAGGCAGCTCTCCAGGAGCTTCCATGATCCCTGACATAAGGTAGGCCAGGAGCCAGCGCCAGCAAGGAGTGCTGAAAGCACATGCTGCTGGAAAAGCGCAACTCGCCTAGACAAAGCGATATGAGGACATGCGAAGATCTTACGTCTACCTTCACCAAAGGAGGCTTTGGCGCGTGAGACCCTGCCCTTCACTTCGGGCAACATAGATCCGCTGAAGGAAATCACGGACCCCAAGTGCTTATAGAAAGGGACTACATCGACATCAACAGAACGTCCAAACTCCCTTAACACCCGGATTTTGCCCTTTGCCTTGTGGAAGACGTTGTCTCTGGCAGCACGTGAGCCCGGCCCTCGGTGCGCCAAAAGGGCTGCTGTCTTGCGCGGGCCAAAGTTGGCCGAAAGGCCATGGCCCGAAATTGAGTCGAGAGATCGACCCAGCACGTGGCTCACAGAGGGGGCAAGATCTGCTGCAGCATCCGCGACAACACAAGATGCATGGTCATCAGCATACGAGATATCTTGGAGCTCAACGTGCTGGCATGGGCTGCCGTCCTCACCGTGAAAGAGCGAGAGATCCTTATGACCAGACCATGGTACTCGGGGCACCATCCTTTGGTCAAAACATCCCCGACGCGCAAGGACTTTTTCAAAAAGGAGGTTGAAGACAACATCGGCCAAACAACTCCCTGGTCGTGTGCCACGACGCGTCCGTACAACCTGGCAATCTTGGGAGATATGAAACCAGGTATCAACGTGGACCTCCCTAAGGAGTGACTGCAGAACAGGCGTGCAGTCGTCGTTAAAGACAGAGTCATTCATGACATGTGCCTGCAATTCCTGAAGGGCATCGGCAGGAAGGCTGAGTGACTCGGCAACCTTGGCAAGAGGCTCTTCACACAGGGAGGCTCCAACGACAACCTCTCGCACAACTGCATAGTAGGCGGCGGCAAGATCGGAGAACACAAGGGCCGCCGAGATGCCCTGGGAACGCGCGAAGGCGAGGAAATTTCGGGAAAGAAAATTCCCAAAAGAGTAGGTCATACCTCTCCTCCCCCCAATTTGTAAAGGAGCAGCCTGACGTTCAAACACCGCTGCTGGCAGCCGCCGGAATGCCCTGTGCAGTACTTTGCCAAAGACGGGCTGCACCAAGATACCACGTTGAGAGGATGCCAAAGCCCGATCAGCTGCTCCAGGTTTGGGTATATGGTGGAGGGTACCTCCTTTGAAGCCGGTTGGTTCCGAGGCATGGAGGGCCGCCTTAAGCAACAGTGGCCAGAGGACCGAGGCTACAGGTGCAGCAAACCGCCTGCAAATAGCGGGAGGCAGGAGGTCGGGTCCTGCTGCTTTGTGCGGATTTACAGCCTGTAGTGCACGGAGCAGTTCAGAGTAAGTGGGCAAATCAGCCCAGTCGGCTATCTCTAGAACCCCCCACTCGCTCTGTCGGGTAAGGCAGTCCTTGACAAGAGTGGAGGGGGGAACAGCGCTACCCCCTTCCAGGCTGCCGAAGTGGCGACGCCACTCTGCATCAACCTCGTCCTGTGTAGTACAGAAGCTCCCATCCGGCCGCTTCAACCTAGGTAGCGGCTGGGGGCCTTGGAATCGCCTGGGCTTCAACAGCTTTCGGACCGCAACGTGAACCTGTGAGGCTGGTGACACATCAACCTCGTCAGCAAGCTTAGCCAGGTAAGCATTGCGGTCGGCCCTGCAAGCGCGCCGAATCTCCTTTCCCAGCGAATGTAATTGAAGCGCAGACACCGCAATGGAGCATCGCAAAGTGTGGAGCCAACGTCCTTGCAGCAGGGAGGTGAGCGAGGAACGTTCGCTCCAGGCAAGAAAGGCACAGCGAATGTAGGACAAGCGGAGAGCGTGACAACGCCACCTCAAGGCATGCCGTACCGAAGCATTTCGTTGGTGCAGGCTAGCTGTGGTATCAGAGAGGTAGCCCTTACTCATACGCCTAGCCTTCAAGGGGAACCTATCGTGCAGAGCCCGATACATCGAGTCAACAACGAGGGCAGCATGGTCGTTGACGTTCACGTCCCAGTGGACGAAAGGTACCTGTCGCATGGCAGTCTGCACTGCAGCCGCATTCTTCGGATCCAGGATGGCCTGAACATCAACGCGACCTGCACGCCTCTGGCGGCCTGCACACGGGTACAGATACGCACTAATAATCACAGCAAAGTGATCTGGCACAGAGTGACCGGCAGACACCTCAGGGGCTACGCGTCCAGACACCGACAACTCTCGCCAGCTTAGAGGAAAAGCGAGGTAGTCACTGCGAGCAAGTGTGCAAGAACGCTTATGAACGAGTGTGCCTCCGGGGCCATGAAAAGAATCCGGAAAAGTAGATGGGAGCCATGCCCCGCATCTGGTAAGCAGGGCGTGAAAGAGCTCTCCAATGTCCTCTTCGGGATCGGCGTGCAAGTCACCTACAGACGGACTTGTCAAGGAGCCAACACCGCAATTGCCATCCAGGCACATGATCCAGGGGCAGTCAAAGCCTACCTTTGAACAGATGCGGGTGGTCTCACGCCACCAGCTAGAGCGCTCCTGGAAGGTGTGGCCCCTATGCGGGGCATGCCCAGAAAGCACACAGACCTGGTGGCCCAAAAAGGTCAACCTTGCAACGATCCGAGTGTAATCGCGGTGCAGGACCACAGCCGTGTGAGGGGGAAAGGGATCCCCAGTTCCAACCCAAATTTCGACACCAAAAGCGCGTCGTTCCAGACACCCTGAGGAGTACCGGCTGTAATGGCGGGTGAAGAAAGTCCCTTCTGGTGTTCGAGCTTCCTGGACGCCAGCGAGAAAAACCTCCTGGGCAAACAGGGAACGATCGAGCAAAGTAACCCGGCCGACCTGGTCATGCAATCCAGAACGGCGGCCTCGATCGGTCTGCGAGGGGTCAGCCAAAGAAAGCGCGTTGAAGGTAGCAAACACACAACGTTGTGGCTTGTGCCCGCGGATTGGGGTCTGGTCACCCGAGGGTGCGGCCCTAAGAAAAGGGGCGATCTGAGCAGCATGTGGGAGACATGCGACAGGTTCGACCGACGACCATCGCATAACCCCCTTGGATAACCCTGGTAGGCACTGTGGGCATCGTTTGACCCAACACAGATGTGGCAACCAATCAAAAGGTGCCCCGGCATGCACGAACCAATCGGTCCAGCAAAGACCGAAGTCAAAGGACCAAGGAAGACGCGCACCAACCGAAGCTACAGAGTCCGCAAGCTCATTAGCTGGGTCACCATGACGGCCCCGGACATGCTGGTATGTGAGGTCAGCAACATGCCACAAGCGCAGACCGAAATCCAGACCCTGACAAGCTCGTATAACTGGGTGCGTCTGGCCTGCAGCCTGACCTTGAGCAACTGCAAGGGCCGCCTGGTTATCACATCGGAAGGTCACCGGGAAATTGACATGA